AATTTAAAAGTGTGTGTGTAGAGGGGGACAGACAGCAGAGGCAGAGACTATGTGGCTTGGTACCAGCAAAAAAATAGGAAATGAGGGAGAAGAATCTCAAGTTGACCAGCAGTTTCTGGAAAGGCTATGTAGAAGAGTATAGAATCATTTGAAGAAAAACATCATAGGATGCTTTGGGAAGAGATATTGACTGTAATTTGGATATTCTGAGCTTGTGAATTGGTGGGTCCTCCTTATCTACCAAATAGCTGAACTTATAGGTCTGAAGTTATAGAAAGAGGTTGGACCAGGCTCCTGTTCTGAGAGATGATAGTTGAAGATAGAACAGTAGCATGCAAGCCAGGAGTGGTGGTGCTTGTCTGTAATCCCAGACATATGGGAAGCTGAGGCAGGAGGATTGCAAGTTAGAGGCTAGCCTGGGCAATTTAGTGAGACCCTGTCTCAAAATTAAAAAATAACAAAGGGGGCCTAGGATTGTGGCTCAATGGTAGAGCAATTGCTTAGCTTGTGTGAGGCACTGGGTTTAAAAAAAAAAAAAGAATTAAAAAATAAAGGTATCATGTCCATGTACAACTAAATAATATTTTTAAAAAACCAAAAAATAAAAAGGGTTTAGTGTGTAGCTCAGTGACCTAGCATCCCTGGGTTTAATCCCCAATACTGAAGAAGAAAAAAGTACCTAAAAACAATAGCTCTGAGAATAAGTATGTGTGAGTACAAGTTTTACAAAAGGGAAAGGAAAAGAATATGAAGATAGGGTCTAGGAAGAATGCATGTGAGGTGGGAAGATAGTTTACGATCTCACCATGGTGCTTTGTGATAATGACCTCTTGTGGGAGACTCGCTATGTGCCACTGTGCTAACCCCTCTTCATCACGGATTGTCTCAAGTCTTCAGCTTTCTTCTCTGTACTATGACCCTGATGTAGCAGCCAACTCATCCTTTTATGAAAAACCATTAATGATGACATCTCATTCCCCAGAGAGTAAGATCCAAACTCCTCAGTTTGGCTATTTAGAGACTTGTTGGTATGACCCTTCACAGCTTCACCTCACTGTGCTGCCTATGAACATGTATTCATTCATTCATTCATTCATTCATCCAATAAGCTTTTTTTTTTTAGTACCAGGGATTGAACTTGGGGTCACTTGACCATTGAGCCTCATCCCCAGCCCCCCCCCTTTATTTTTTTGCACTTTATTTAGAGATAGGGTCTCACTGAGTTGTTTAGCACCTCACTTTTGCTGAGGCTGGCTTTGAACTCAGCCTCCCGAGCTGCTTAGATCCAATAAGTGTTTATTGAGCACTTACCATGAAAGAATGTGTTATGATTTGGATATGAGTAGATCCCCACAGAGCACTTGTTAATGCAGGAATATTCAGAGGCAAAGTGATTCGATTATAAAAGCTGTAACTTAATCAGTCTTTAGTACAAATGAATTGATTGGGTGGTAACTATAGGGAGATGTGGGTGGTTGGGAGAAGTGGGTCACTGGGGATGTGCCCTGAAAGGGTGCCTCTTCCCTGCAACCCCTTCCCTACCTTGCAGACCCCACCACAAGTTGAGGAGCACTCCTCTGCTGGGCCCTTCCCCCATGATGTGCTGCCTCACTTTGGGCCCAGAGCAGTGGACTGAGCCCTCTATGGACTTAGAACTCTGAAATCACAAGCCCCAAATAAGCTTTTCCTCTTCTAAGTTGTTCTTGTTGGGTATTTTCGTCACAGTGATGAAAAAAAGAGAATGGAAACAAGAGAAATGCTCCTTCCTGTCATGGAATTTACCAAAATAAAATAAATTATCTGGCAGGTACTAAGAACTTTGGTGAAAATAAAAAAGGAAAATGTGGTAGAGAGTGACTGTTGGGGGAGGAAATCTAATTATACAGGATCATAAGGGAAAGTCTTGGTAAGGAGTTGTGTTTAGGCTGAAACCTGGTTGGAAAAAAAGGAGCCTCTACAAAGATCTGGGCAAAGAACATTCTGGGCAGAGAGAACAGTTAGTACCAAGGCTCTGTGAGTGCACACAACCTTGGCATGACTTAAGAGCAGAGAATGCAAGTGTGCTGAGGCATAGCAAGGGAAAGGAAGACGACATCAGAAGAATTTGAAAGGGGAAGAGTTCAAATGACAGGGGCTTCATAGACCTGGATAAGAGTTTGGGTCTTTATCTTAAAAGCAATGGGAAGGTGCTGATGTTAAGCAGATAGGTGATATGATTAGAGTTAGGATTTTCCGGCTTCTGTAAGAGGAAATCTGAGCAAAAATAAAATTGAGATAAGTTAGTAGGCTGCTGCGAGAGTTCAGGTAAGAGAGTGGGTGGTTCATTGTGGGAGAGTGGCAGTGGAGATGGAGAGGTTTGATAATATGCTTGAGAGGAATGTAAGAGGTAAAACTGAGAGTGCTATGCAGTGAGTTAGAATTTGTAGAGAGGACACAGGGAACATATGCAAGAAGCTGATTGTCCAGTCATAGGGATAGGAACTAGGAAAAATATTGAAAGACAGTAACCTCCACTCCCATTTAATAGTTCCAAGTTGAGCATGGTGGTGCACTCAGAAGCTCAGGAGCCTGAAGCAGGAAGATCACAAGTTCAAAGCAACTTGGAGAGGCCCTAAGCAACTTAGGGTGATCCTGTCTCAAAATAGAAAATAAAAACAGGGAGGGGGATGTGGCTCAGTGGTTGAGCATCCCTGAGTTCAATACCTGGTATAATAAATAAATAAAATAATAATAGTAGTAGTAGTAATAATAACTCCTGCTTGGGTTGGAGATAGAGCTCAGTAGTAGAACTCTTGCATAGTATGTGAAAGGTGCTGGATTCAATTCCTAGCACTGCCAAAAAAAAAAAAAAAAAAAAAAAAAATCTCTGTATTGGGAGTGGCACAGAGAGGACAGAGGAAGGTGGATGGCAGGTTCACAAGTAAGTCACACATTACCACTTAAGAGCTCACATCTCACAGCATAAGTGCATCAGTAGATGTGCAATACAAAAAACAAACTCTTAGGAATAAGACTCAATATATGTGACAAACCATTAAGCTCTGTCTGCAAAATACTATTAGGAAGTAGAAATAGAAGGGGCTAAAGGCTAGGCTGAAGTGGCCTTTAGTTGGGAAGAAATATGCCAACTCTACTGGCAGAAATAAATTTTTACTTTTCCTCTGAGAACCTGGGGGCAAGACAAGGAGCAGGAGAGGAACCAGAGATACAGCCTACCTACTTTGTCCTCTCTAAGCATGAAAATTCATACATGGAAGAGCCTGTTCCCAACATGTGACAGCAGTAGGATCTCATTTGTAAAGAGCCAGAAGATATCAGATATCTGGTATAACAAATACACTAAGGCCTAGAGTGATTAACTGACCTGAAAAGGAGAATTGGCTAGTAAATAACTGCACCAAAACTAGAAGCTGGATTGGACCCAAGGGTGCTCTACCACTGAGCTATATCCCCAACCCTTTTTATTTTTTATTTTGAGACAAGGTCTCCCTAAGTCACTGAGGCTGGCCTTCTGAGTCACCGGGTTTACAGGCCATTATATCTAGCTAGAAGTTGGATCTTCTGATCCCTGGTTCTGTGATGCTCCCAGATCCTGCCAAAAATCTAGGGTCACTCACATTAAAAAAAAAAAAAAAAAAAAGCACAAATCAGGTTCCTAACTGGGTTTGTGGTTATGACTCTTTGTGGTAATGTCTTGTTTCTCTTAAATTCCTCTAACAGGCTCCCTCTTGTGGGACACCCTTCCAGGACATCTTATATCAATCCACTGCAAATTCTCAAAATGGCTCTTCTGAGGGACATTTAATTCTGTACTTTCTCATTCTAGCCTCTGGCCAAAACATTTCCATTTCTGGAGAGATGAAGCCCCTGAATCTCATGTAAATCACCCCTTACCTCTGCTTGCTGGGCTCCTCTTTTACCTTCTCATTTGATTTTTACAAATGTCGTTCTTTTATACATATCAATGGCATTTGATTTAGAACAACACTTGGATAGGCAAAATAAATGAAGATGGCATATTCTCAATTTACAAAAAAATGGGATGTAAAATCATTCCCAAGTAATAGGGATGTAGTTTTTCTCTCCTGATTCTGGCCAGGAAAGTATTAAGAAATATTAATTGGCAAGCTAGAGATTCCATCCCTAAGAAATCACTCCAGTATTTATTAAACTCTTTAGCACAATGTTTTATGAGGGACATAGACAAACTAGAAGGGAGTACAGGAGGAAAATTATTATGAGATTTATGCATTTAGAAATTTCCCATCAGACAGGGTCTGTCAATGGAAAGGGGCTTAGAGATGTGGGTCATGGAGGCCAAAATTTAGATGGCAATATTAAAAAAGTCAGAGAGTTCTAATCAGGCAGCTACTTTTTTATTTTTAAACTGGGGATTGAAGTGGCCCTTTACCACTGTGCTAAGCCCCTAGTTCCCCCCCCCTTTTTTTATTTTGAGATAGGATCTCACTAAGTTACTGATCACCTCACTAAGTTACTGATCACCTCACTAAGTCACTGAGGCTGACCTTGAATTTTCAATCCTTTTGCCTCAGCCTCCCAAGTCATTGTGCCTGGTTAATCAGGCAATTATTGTGCTATTTCTATGCAAACTATATTTCAAAGGAACCACATAGTAGATAAAGGAGAGTGGTCTTTATAGAAATATTCCAGATAATAAGTGAAGAAGGAATGATTGGAATAAAATGTTACCATTTGGCAAACCCAAATAAAATAAGGGATTACCAATGGCTACTAACATCATAAGATGAGAGAAAAGAAGGAGGGTGTGGTGGCACACACCTATAATCCCAGTGATTTAGAGGCAGGAGGATTGCAAATTTAAGGCCAGCCTCAGCAATGTAGCAAGACCCTGTCTCAAAATAAAAAATAAGAAGGACTCAGTGGTAGAGCAACTGAGGACTCAATCCCCATTGTCAAAACAAAGGGCCCCACACCACCAAAAAAAAAAAAAAAAGTGATGAGCACTCAGTTCCCTCCTTAGCTCATTGCACCCTTAGCCCTCCATTCTTATTCCATCAGAATCAAAGACCCCAGCCTAGGATCCTTTAAAACTCCCTCAGAATTGGACTACATCCCTCAGTCATTTCTAAATCCACAGTGCTTAATGGATGGAATATGGTTCCTCCAGTTCCATGTCCCAGAGGCACTAACAAATCCTAGACCTGGTCTGGTCCATGTTGTTGAAGAGAAAGAACTGCAGATTGGAAACTTAGTCACCAGGAACCAGAACTGGCTCTTTTATAACCATGTGAACTAATGAGTCATGTCATTTAGCATTTTTGCACCTTAGTTTTCCAATAGATTTTTTAAAAAGTTCCTCATTATAAGACTGAGGGACACACCTGGAGACATAGCCAGAATTTCCTGGGGGAAAAAAAGACATTAGTAATAGTAGTTTAACAAGAAACTCTAGAGATATTACATTTATAATTCAACAACAAAATGTGTATGTGTGTGTGTGTGTGTGTGTGTGTGTGTGCACACGAACCCGCATGTATTTTAGATAAATAAAACCTTGGGCAGAAGGTAAGGTTAAGTATCACTCAGGCCTGAGAGGAGATAAAAGTCTAGCAAATTTAAGGGCCAGGGCTAGGACCCCAACACTTTACCTTCTCAATGAAGTCAGTGTTCTTTCCAATAACCTGACTTCCCTTGATTTATTTCAATTAAATATAGGAATGTTCTAGTGCATAAAATGAATGGCCCTACAAGGGTCAGAGAGTTGCATTAACTTAAAAGTAAAGGGACACAATGACCCAGCAAATTAGAAAACAAGATTGCTTCCTTTAGTTAAATGCCAGGAAGGATTCCTGTAATATCATTTGACATTTTCAGCAATTTTGCTTCCACAGTTTTACGGTCTTCCTCCAGGTCCTTATGGCTTGTTCATCATTTTCTATGCCTCAAATGACAGCAAACCTACAGTGGAAAAATCTCACACACTGTCCTACAAAGAGATCTGAGATTCTTTTAGCCTCTATGTCACAAAACCACAAACATCCTCTATGGTAATTCTGCCTTGTCATGGTGATGAGACATCTGGTGACTAAAGCCTGCATAGCACTAGTAAGAGAGCGTTTCCATTTTATTAATTTAGGTGTTCAGACCCCAGACCTTGTAAGTTCTGAACTAGAGTGCTTGAACTATAAATTTCTTATTGAGTTATAGACTATATTATATATATTATATTGAATATCTTTTAAGGCCCAGACACTGCTTTTAAGGACTTTATATAAGAACTCGAAAAATATTTTTTTTTTGTTTTTGTTTTTTTAGCAGTGCTGGGGATCAAATTCAGAGGCCTCATAGACAGACTATACCCACAGCCCAAGATCTCAAATATTAATCATTGAGCACCTACTTTGTGACAGGCACTGTACCAGATGGTTTACATGAGAACTCTAGGCCACATTCCTTTCACCTCTAGTAACCAGACATTAATCATTTAAACACATATTTCCCTAAGGGTGAGTTACATACACTGAAGTAATGTCTTTTGTGTTCAGAACATTATTTGGACCCTGTAAGTTTATCCTCTTCATTGTAACACAGAATAAGAAAGAAAACAGATTAGGGTCTCATTTGAGTCACCAATGCCCAGGTTTTCTCTATTTGGGGTATCTGAAGACAGTAGCAATGGAAATTTGAAAAGCAATAGCAGAACCACTAAAGACTATTTCCTAAATCAAATGGGTGTTTTGATGGCATAAGAGATGAGCTTTCTGCCGGAAGCTCTTATCACATTTACTACAGTGAAATGGTTTTTCTCCTGTATGTGTTCTCTGGTGCGTGAGAAAATGGGAACGCTGGTTGAAGGTCTTGCCACATTCGGGACAGGGGTAGGGTCTGTCTCCTATGTGAATGCGTTGGTGGGTAGTGAAATGGGAGCTCTGATTGAAGCTCTTTCCGCACTCACCACATTTGTAGGGTCTTTCTCCTGTGTGGATTCGTTGGTGCTTAATGAGGGCAGAGCTATCAGCAAATCCCTTCCCACAGTCGTTGCACTTAAAAGGTCTCTCACCGGTATGTGTCCTCTGGTGTGTAACCAGATGGGAACTCTGACTGAAACTTTTGTGGCACTCGGGACAACTGAAAGGCCTTTCTCCTGAGTGAGTACTCATGTGTGCTACAAAATGAGAACTGTCTCTGAAGCCCTTCCTACACTCTGGGCATTTAAAAGGCCGTTCTCCTGTGTGGGTTCGTTGGTGCTTAATCAAATCTGAGCTCTGGCTAAAACTGTCCCCACAGTCGTTACACCTGTAAGGCTTCACGCCTGTGTGAATCCTCTGGTGGGTGATGAAATTTGAGCTTCGACTGAAGCTTTTATGACATTCGAGGCATGTGTAGGGCTTTTCTCCTGTGTGGGTTCTTTGGTGCATTGTGAGGTGTGGCTTCCGTCCAAAAGTCTTCCCACACTCTGGGCACCCATAAGGTCTCTCCCCTGTGTGGGTTCTCTGATGTTTGATGAGAGTTGAGCTGTCGCTGAATTTTTTCTCACACTTGCTGCATTGGTAGGGCTTCTCTCCTGTGTGTGTTCTGCGATGAGTGACGAGGTCTGAGCTCTGTTTGAAGCCTTTCCCACACTCGATGCATTTATAAGGTCTCTCACCAGTATGGGTTCTTAGGTGTCTTATGAGATAAGAACTCTGGTTAAAGCTTTTCCCACATTCTGCACACATAGGCTTCTTTCCTACATATCCACACAGGAACTTGTTTAAATCCCTGGCCTGTGCAAAGGGCTCCTGCTGGCCCTCTCCTAGAAACATTCTGTGTTGCCCTCCTACTTCAAGGGCCCTGTCCCAGTTTCCTCCCCAATTAGGAACATGAGAAATATTTTTATTGGTCCTTTCTGAGGATGTTCCACATTGTTCTGTTGTTTCAGAAATGTCCTGACTGAGTTTTGCCACCTGATGGTCAAAGTCTGAAAAAATTAATGGAAGTAACACAGAATAAAGTTATCAGTTGTAAGGAAAGAACATAAAAAATCAGTTAAGAATGATTAAAATTACAGTATCAGCAGTAGGCTACACTTAATTTGATCACTCTGCTTGTTATTTTATTTGCAAAGTTTGTTGAAGACTAAGTGCGGCTCAGGGTAGGGTGCTTGCCTACCATGCATGAGGCCCTGTATTCAATTCCTTGCAATGGAGAAAAAAAGGTATACCATATATTGTCAAAATTGAGCAACTTCCTTTAAAGATGTTATAGTATAGATAAAGTGAAATGCTTACTCAAAATGAAGTCAATTTCTGACTGACTGCCCAAGAAATCAAATGTAAACTTTGGTAATAAAAACAAAAGGCTAGGGCAAGAGTTTAATACTCCTGTGACTTAGGTTATTATATATTTTTGCATTTTTTTTTCCTGGAAAAAAAGTCAGGGAAGCAGTCAAAATTTTTCATCTAAAGAAGGGCTAAAATTCTAGATTTCCTCCTGCTAGGTAGCACTAACGTCTCACCTGTGTGACTTTTCCTTAGGATTGTCATTGTTTCAAAGTTTTGGAGTGGTAGAACCCATGGTGTCTGCTCCAGCTGGGAGATTACACTTGGTCTAGAAATCCTACACAGGAAGATGAATGAACATAGGATGTGAATATGAGCCAAGCATACAAGGCCTGACCAGACACCAAGCTCTCTACTTTCCCTAGGTAAAGAACACAAGTGGACTGTTAATATGTGTTTGGGCTCATTAAAAGAGCAACCAGAGTGTGGGGCACATGCCTGGAATCCCAGTGACTCGGGAGGCTGAGGCAGGAGGATGACAAGTTTGAGGCCAGCCTCAGCAACTTAGTGAGACCCTGTCTCAAAATAAAAATTAAAAAGTGCTCAATGTATATCACTTCCCCAGTAATGGGGGGAAAAAAAAGCAACCAGGTGAAGTGCTAATACAGAATGGTTGCTACAGGAGGCTAAAGGGGAAAAAGCTTTTTTCCTCTGATTAAAAACAAAAACAAAAACGTGGGGCTGGGTAACTAATGGTCGAGCACTTGCTTAGCATGCACAAGGTGCTGGATTCGATTCCCAGCCCTGGGAAAGCATATGCATGCATGCGCGCGTGCACACACACACACACACACACACACACACACACTCACTCACTCACACATACACACAAACCAGACTTGGATGATAGACACTCTGGAATAAGCACCATAATTCATTTCTTAAGACACAAGGTTAAACCAATGTAGAAAGATAAACTCATCAGAAACAAAGCTGCCATAATCTAACCATTAAAAAGAATCAAGGGAGTTAACAATAATGTTTGGCTTTACAATTTTCCCAGAAAGGCAGCTGTTGATACAGCCATGAGAAAAAGACAAAAACTTGTTAAGGGGGAAAAAAAATGGACATGTGAATAGGGGGCTATGCTGAGGGCCATTGTCAAGTAGGAATGACGCTTCAAAATTTCCTTGCCAGCGTACCCCATGTTAAATGGATTTCGCTGTTGACATTGCATGAAAGGTGACCTTGCTCAAGGACCAAGGCGGATCCGGGTTTAGACAAGGGCCCTCAGCAGGGCTATAGTTGTAGCTCAGTGGTAGAGCACTTGCCTGGAATGTATGAGGCCCTGGGTCCGAGCCAGCACCGCATATAAATAAATAAATTAAATAAAGGTCCATTGGCAACTAAAAAAAAAGAATGTGATGAGGCAATTGGACAAAAGAAAAAAATCAGCCTATAAATATATGACAAACCCTTAACTTCACCATTGACTGAAAAAATTCAAATTAGAACAATGATCTACTTTGGTAATACAGTATAGAGGTAAAGAATACAAACTCAAGAGTCATATGCCTGAATATGAATGTTAACCCTGCCATTTACAAGCTGGTGACCTCAGAAATGCTATTTAAACTCTGGGTCTCAGTGTCTTCATCAATAAAATAGGGTTAGTGCTCACTTCAGCAGCACCTATACAAAAATTGGAATGATACAGATATTGGCAAGGCCCCTTCCCAAGAATGACATGCAAATTTATGATGTGTTCCATATTTTTAAATAAATAAATTAAATATGAGCTGGATATAGTGGCACATGCCTGTAATCCCAGCAACTATGGAGGAGGAGGAGGCAGGAGGACTGCAAGTTCAAGGCCAGCCTCAGCAATTTAGCCAGGCCCTAAGCAATTTAGCAAGACCAAAAAAAAAAAAAAAAAGAAGGGGGTAATAATAAGGTCTACATTAGAGGATTTTTCTTGAGGATTAAGTTTAACTCTTTAAAACACTCTATCATTGTTATTTTACCCCAACTCTTAAATTAGAATATTCACTCTCATATAGATAAAATAGAAAGAAATGAACATTTTCATTTACTGCTGTGGTAATATATAATTGATTCAATCTTCTTGTAAGGAACTTGGCAAACTACCAAATACCTTAAATACCTTAGAAATGTATCCACTCTTGGGCTGGGGCTGTGACTCAGTGGTAGAACACTGTGTGAGGCACTGGGTTCGATCCTCAGCACCACATAAAAGTAAATAAATATAAAGGTATTGTGTTCATTTACAACTAAAATAATTTAACAAAATGTGAAGTGGTTATGTTAAGTAATGTACAGAAAGATATTATTACCAAAATATACATTCACAATATAGGCACAATTGAATGTACAGTATAATTCAAATATTCTTTTGTGGTTTGGGGGTTTTTCCTTTCTTTCTCTCTCTCTCTCTCTCTCTCTCTCTCTGTTTTTTTTTTTTTTTTTTTTGGTACTGGCAATGAACTTGGGGGTGCTTTACCACTGAGCTACATCCCCAGCCCTTTTTATTTTTTATTTTGAGATACAGTCTTGCTAAACTGCTGGCTGACTTTGAACTTTTGATCCTCCTGCATCAGCCTCTAGAGTTGCTAGGAATACAAGCATGGACCACCAAGCTCAGCTTTTATTTTTTTGACATAGAGTCTCCCCTGTGTCTAAACTGCTCTTGAGCCCATGATTCTCCTGTCTCAGCCTCTAGAGTAGATGGAATTATAGGTATATGCCACCATCCTCATTTTTTATTTTGTTTTATAAATTTTATATATGCTTATAAAAAGGCTGGTAGGGAGCTAGGGATATAGCTCAGTTGGTAGAGTGCTTGCCACACATGCATAAGGCCCTGGGTTCAATCCCCAGCACCATAAAAACAAACAAATAAATAAATAAAAGCTGGTAGGTAGTAACTCACTAGTAAATTAAAAGACAGTGACTTCTTTTTCATTTTGCCTGTCTTTTTCATCAGTATTAATTTTTTACTGGGGATTGAATCCAAGGCTTTATGGATGCTATAAACAAGAGCCCTATCAGTGACTTACTTCTCCAGTCCACTGGTATTTTAGAAAAAGCACTGGAAGTATTTTTTGTTTAAGTGATAGGTAAAAACCCCATGGGGACAGTCCTCCTTTTTCCACAAAGACCTGGGTTGGATTTTTACCTCTGCCCCTTCTGAGTGTCAGTGTTCTTCACTAGAAAGAGAGAACAGTAGCATATCTATCAAAATATTATAGTGAAATAGTAAGAAAAAGATAAATATCAAAGATATCTGTTGCCAAGCACAGTGGCCCATGCATGCAATCCTGGCTACTCAGGATGATGAGGTAGAAAGATTACAAGCTCAAGGCCAGCCTGAGCAATTTAGCAAGATCCTGTTTCAAAATTTATTTATTTATTTATTTATTTATTTATTTATTTTAGGGCTGAGGATGTAGCTTAGTACAATGCTGGGTTCAATCCCCAGTATCGTTAAAAAAAAAAAAACAAAACACACAACCCTGCAAAACATAAAGTGCCATAAAAATATAAAAATAGAAGTCACTCTTAGTCTTTTTCTGCCAAGGAGCAACAATTAATTTCAGATATGTCTAGGAATCTAAGAAACCAGTGTCCCCAGATACCACTCAGACTTGGGCCCTTTCAAAATATCTAAATTTTAAATTTTGGTGGGCAGGGCAGTCCTGGGGATTGAACTCAGGGGCATTCAATCACCAAACCACATCTCCAGCCATATTTTGTATTTTATTTAGAGATAGGGTCTCACTGAGTTGCTTAGTACCTTGCTTATTGCTGAGGCTGACTTTGAATTGGTGATCCTCCTGCTTCAGCCTCCCAAGCTTCTGGGATTACAGGCATGCACCACTGCACATGGCTTAAGTTTTAAAGCTTAAGGAGAGTAGCATCCTTACCCTTTGAGAGCCCATTCTTCTAACTGTCCTGGGTGGAATCCCTGAAGAGAATTCTTTAAGCAGTGTCCAGGTAACCCACTCTTCCCTGAAGTCCCCAGCCACATCATTGAGGGTCATCAGTTCCTAAAGCAAGAAACCTCAATATGCATCAATAGCTCCCTAGATATTCTCACCATTGTCTGAAAACCAAAAGATGGACACTGTATACCCAAACCAAACAAAAAGCCCCTTGACTAGAACAGTCTTGAGGTAAATTCTGTCAATGACAGAAGAGTTGCCTTTCTTTCTTTCTCTCTTTCTTTTTTTGTACTGGCAATTGAAGCCAGGGATGCTATACCAATGAGCTACATCCACAGCCCTTTTTTTGGGGGGCGGGGGGGTACTGGAGATTGAACTCAGGGGGAACACTCAACCACTGAGCCATATCCCCAGCCCTATTTTATATTTTATTTAGAGATAGGGTCTCACTGAGTTGCTTAGCACCTCATTGTTGCTGATGCTGGCTTTGAACTTATGATCCTCTTGCCTCAGCCTCAAAAATCACTGGGATGGGGCTGGGGATGTGGCTCAAGCGGTAGCGCACTCTCCTGGCATGCGTGTGGCCCGGGTTCGATCCTTAGCACCACATACAAACAAAGATGTTGTGTCCACCGAAAACTAAAAAATAAATAAATAAATACTTAAAAAAAAATCACTGGGATTACAGGTGTGGGCCACCATACCCAGCTCTTTTTATTTCATTTTGAGACAGGGTCTCTGGCTTCGATCTTGCAATCCTCCTGCCTCAGCCTCCTGAGTTGCTGGGATTACAGGTATGTGCTACTGAGCCTGGGGATTTCTTTTCTTACTCTGTTTTCACATAATCCTTCACGTAGCCAACTTTCCCATCACTAAGAGAGGTCTGGACCTCCCAGATACGTCTACAGAACCCTCAATCTTTTGGATAGCTTAACTTTTTAAGGAACCTAGTGTTCATAATGGAAAGGATAAAGGAGATAGATTGCAAGTATAATTCAATTTCTGAAAAGCTTTCAGTTCTCTCCAACTACATTTTACTCAGCAAATTAGAAAATTGTGGACTTTTCTTATTTTAGTTTGAGAACAGCAGACTCTTCTTGGCTTATAGATATGGGATCAACCTCAAGGAAAAGACTATGCAGAATCCCAAAGGGAATTGTGCTGGGAACCATTCTATTTCAAGGTTTAATGGCTTCAAAAATGAGATGTAAAAATACATGGGCTAGGAAAAAAAATGGATAAGTTGTAAAAATAAGTAAAATTCAATGGGGAGAAGCACAAAACACATCCCTTACGGCTGAAAACTGTCATAACATTGACAGCAGTATCATGAAAAGATTATTTTGAGGGAGAATGGTAGGAGTTATTACTGGATAAATCTGTAAATCCTTCAGTAATTAACATAGTGTAAGGCAGTAGGAGTTCCCCCTACCGCTTAAAGAGTTTTCAATAGAAACCCCAAGTCAGCCAGCTGGTGGACCATCCCCTACAAAGAATTCTGCATTTCAGTGGAAGAAAATCCAGACTGAAGTGAGGAGGTATTTGTCTTTCACATCTTTTTGTTTTGCTTTTGGTTTTTGGTCCCGGGGATTGAATCTTGGGGCACTGTACCTAAGCTACTTCCCCCATCCTTTATCTTTGTTTTTTTTTAAATATTTTAAAGTTGTGGGCTGAGGATGTGGCTCAAGTGGTATCATGCTCGCCTAGCATGGGTGAGGCACTGGGTTCGATTCTCAGCACCACATAAAAATAAAATAAAGATGTTGTGTCCACCTAAAACTAAAAAATAAATTTTAAAAATATTTTAAAGTTGTTGATGGACCTTTATTTTATTTATATGTGGTGCTGAGAATCGAACCCAGTGCCTTATGTGTGCCAGGCAAGCTTGCTACCACTGAGTCACAACCCCAGCCCCAGTCCTTTATCTTTTATTTTGAGATAGGGTCTCCCAAAGATTCTGTGGATGGCCTTAAACTTGCACTCCTCTTGCCTTAGTCTCCGAAGTGGCTGGGAATACAGGCATGAGCCATTGTGCCAGGCTCTTTAACATCTTTTGTTCCACTAAGCAAAGCACCTGATAACTATTTGAATATACACCGTTTTAATAGAAATATTTAGGTATTTACAGACACTGCTATTGCTCATTTATATTTTTAAGGATCTAAACATTGTAGGAGTACATTTCATCTCTCTGACTTAAAACCTTAACAGAAATAATGTCATTAGGACGTAAAATTTATAAGTTTTGAGTACAGATTTTATTTCTACATTCATTAAAAACACATAACTGCAGAGCTCACTTGCAGTAGATGGTGCGATTGAAGGAGAGATCATTTTTAGCTGTTTTTATATAAAAAAAAAAACTGTTTCCCACCCAGTCTCCTTTCTCCTGTACAAGTGACCCCAAAGGCCTTGGAATGCTAAGGTGCTATGACTAAGTGCCATTGTGAGATGTGCGAGTTTCCTCCCGGGTTTATTAATAGGAACATGACTGCACCGGTGGGGCTGACACCCGTTCTTCCTTGCGGTGCTCAGGCCTTAATCAGGGTACAGCGGTCATAGGGTCACAGAGATAAGCTGAAACCCGGGGACCACCACTAAGGAGCAAGAAAATTGACTTAAGATGATGAGCTATATACCGAGGGTGGTATAAAAACTGCATCTTCCCACAGCTCAGCAAGAGCCGGGGCTCCTACAGGGTGAGAGCCTGGACCTGGCGTGGACAACGTCGGGGAGGCAGGCGAGCCCCCCTCCACGCCCCTCAGCAGCTGGTGAGGTGTCGCCTCAGACTCCCTCCCTGGATCACTCACCGCCCCAGGCCCAGCCGGGGATGGAGCAGGAAGCAGGAGTCCGCCGCCGAGCCGCACCCAGCCGGCAAAACTGAGCAGGTCCTTCCAGAACCTGACTGGGATTCGTGTCAGGGCTGTAAGGACACAGGTGGGACTCAGGGTTCCACAGCCAGCAGCCGGAAAACACCGGCCCTGGCTCTCTCCATTGGTTTCTCTGTTACCACAACTTGAAATTCTCCTGAGTTATTGGGCAATTAGCCGTCAATCATTGCAAAGCCTCCTGGGAAATGTAGTCCTCAACTAGCTCGCAAAGGACTCGAGTTCTGTGGTGCCCGGTTCCAAGTGCTTGACAAGTACTAAACCCATTTCTCGAGCTACTGAACCATGGGAATCGCCTCTCCAGAGCCGAGGACCAGATCCAAATGCTGTACCTCAGAGGAGGATCTACAAATGCGAAACTCCAGGTCTCACCCGACTACTGTGGAGCAGCCTGGTACCCTGGCGTTATCTCCCTGGCTCTTACACTTCGCCCTTACCAAGCAAGAACACCTCATCGCTCTGCCTTTCTGCAGATCCTTTCTGCCACGAGTCCTTCGCCTCACTCTGGGCAGCTAGAACCKGCAGGGGCTGTGTGTTGCCGGCCGAGTTCCACACCAACTTGGACTAGGCACAAGAAACCCCCGAGACCCGCCCGAGAAACCGTTAGTTAAAAAACAAACAAACAAATAAACAAACAACAACAACGAAAACAGACGTTCTGCTTTCTTTCACTAGCCTCACACTTCCAGGCATATTCCCTTTCCATTGATTCATACACCTATTAATAGAGAATGCAGATGAGGACGTCAACGGTAAGTATTGTGGGAAATGTGGTATTGCGTTCCAAACTGGAGAGGCTCCTGAGTCTTATGTGAGAGACAGTGAGCACTTTGGTGAGAGAGAAAAAGAAGAAGAAAAAGAAGAAGGAAAAGGACAAAAAAGGGGGAGGGGGACTTTTCTACTCTGTTAACTCAATGCAATGAAAAATAAAGTGTTTTGGTTTTGTTTTTGTTTGTGAATCACTCTAAGATACTTAGAATTACCAGACAAATGGCTACTGTGGAAAATTCCTTTGATGCTAATTCCACCAGTCCTTCAACAAACAGGCAAGGTACACCCTCCAACAAACACACATGGTACATCCTCCAACAGATATTTATTGGGAACACTCTATAAACATTCTGTATTTAAGATCATTCTGAACTCTGTGGTTACCCACAGGAATCAGCATGGCCCTTGCTTTCATGAAACTCACAGCCTAACAGGGGAGATCAGCCACAAAACATATTAAAATCAACCTGGGGCATAGTAGCATGTACTTGTAACCCCAGCTCTCTAGGAGACTGAGGAGGAAGGATCACAACTTTGAGGCCAGCCTGGGCAAAATAGCAAGACCCTGTCTCAAAATAAAAAATAGAAAGGGCTGAAGATATAGCTCAGTGGTAGAGAGCTTGCTTAGCATGAACAAGATCTTGAATCCAATCCCAAGTACCACCAAAAATAAATAAATAAAGTAATAATAAAATAAAAGATTAAAATGCCAAGAAATGTTTTTCTTTTTTCTTTCTTTTTCATACAGACAGTRGCATCTTAGTTATTTAGCTACATATTTATAGACATTTATAAGATAACCATTAGCATTTGGGGGATTTTGAACACTATAAGCATATATCTGGTTTTGGTTATCAGTTGTATTTTAGTTAAATGGAAGTGAGAAATTGTGTATATATATGAATATGTAACAATGAATTCCACCATTATGCATAATTATAATGTACCTGTTAAAAAACATGGGGAAAAATGAAAATGAGGAAAATGGAAATCTCACAGGACCTTAGGAGACCTAGAGATCACCAGGCCTCATGTGACTACAACATAGTTCAGGACCTGGAGAACTGAAGACATCTCCAGGCCCCTAAGGAGTCTTTCTAGTATTTTGTTGTCAGGGAGATTTTGTGGCTCTTCAATCCAGTCACAGTGAATAGGAAATGGAGATGAATGAAGATTCACAAAATCTGGCTGGTGTCTATTCCCTGCCTCTCTTTCATCCCTGTTTGTTCTCTCATCATTTCACCACAGAGCAATTATCTGGGAGGGGAAGCTTGATCTCACAAGTCAGTAAAGGAAATAAGACCTTGTATCCCAGGTGGCCACATAAAGAAAGGACCATGAGATAATGGAAGTTGAGTGCTTACTGGTGTGGGAGAAGAGGAGAAAGTAGAGGAGAGAGAGAAAGGATTTTTTTTTTTTTTTTTTTTAAGATGTGGTCTCACTATATTGCACAGGCTGGTCTTGAACTTCTGAGTTCAAGTGATCCTCCTGCTCTAGCCTCTTTTGAGTATCAGGGACTGTCATCTTATACCACCCTGAGTGATGTATCACTAAATTATGAAAGTGAGGGTATATATCAGTTATTTGTTGCTTTGTAACAAACCATCACCAAACTTAGTGGGTCTATTTATTTATTTATTTTTGAGACAKGGTCTCACTGTGTTGTCCACATTGGTCTTGAATTCCTGGACTCCAGTGATTTTCCCCCTCAGCCTCCCTGATAGTTGGGACTGCAGATGCACAGCACTTCACCCAACGATTTAGTGGTTTTATTTTATTTATTTATGTTATGATACTGGGTATTGAACCCAGGGGTACTCTACCACTAAGCTACATCCCAAGCCCTTTTTACACTTTCTAAATTTTAAGGTAGGGTATTA